AATCAACTTATTAATAATTTCAATTCATCGAAAAAATTCAGACGTATTCAATATACTAAGAAGTGTTAAGTTATTGTTCGTTATATCTCTGTTTTCCTATGGTTGACAGGGAGAAAATGCCCCTAGATGTTAAGTGTGCACCTTTATTTAATAATAACCTCAGGACAATTCACACAACGCCATCTATTCCAAGTTAAGCTACCTAAAGCTTGTGTTATGGGTACTAGATAACTGATACAGGTACATAATTTTTTTTTTTTCGTAAATACATACATATTATACATAGAAAACACCCAGACCGATACAAACAATTATACTCATGAATACAAATGTTTGTGCCGTGCGAGGAATCGAACCCGCGTCCGATACGTAAAGCGGTGTGCTAGACCGCTACACCACCGAGGTCGTCAATTTATTTCAATAATTTGTGCATTAAAGTTTTATTTTATAACTAAACATACATACATGACGACTTTGTACAATGTCTGCTGAAGTAGATTCTCGACACTCCTCCACGCGATCACCCTGGACTCTATCGTGCTTAAAACCTGGTGAACGCAATATTATGAGCAATAATTGACATGACTTTAATCTCATCCTATCACCCGTCACTATCGCTCGGTCAGCGAATACCGTTAGAGCAAGCGAGTGCACCATTCCATTATCATTATCATCCATTAAAAGAAAACATAATAAACCTCAAATGCAAGTAAACCACAAGTGCACACACAAATGCTATGAAAATCATATTAATATCATTAAATAGTATAAAAACTAATGATACAGATAGCATTAACATCTAGGTTAAATACAAAACAAGTCCACCCCACTTTTACTTTAATTCCCCAATTAAAAGCACATCCACGAGTATAATTTTTCTCAAATTTACAATTTATAGAAAAGGTTCACACGATTAACAAACATGCAAAGTTGTTAAACGCAATCTTATCTTTAATATCTGTATATAACAATAATAATTTCAGGACAATTCACACAGCGCCATCTAGACCCAAGTTATGCTAGCTAAAGCTTGTATTATGGGTACTAGATAACTGATACAAATACATAGATATATTTTTTTCGTAAATACATACATATTATACATAGAAAACACCCGTTACAATCATACTCATGAATACAAATGTTTGTGCCGTGCTAGGAATCGAACCCACGACCATCAGAAGTAAGGCGGTGATACAAACACATAGATACTTTTTTTGTAAATAAATACATAATATACATAGAACTCTAAATACATAATATACTCCACTCAGACCAATACAAGCAATGATACTCATGAATGCAAATGTTTGTACTGTACGAGGAATCGAATCCGCGACCATGGGAAATAAAGCGATGTGCTATACCGCTGAACCACCGAGGTCGTCAAATAATTAATTAGTAATTTCACTGGTGTTGCAATCATATACTAGTTATTTAAAAACTGCCTTACTTTAATTACCGGTCAAGTTCAAGGTGATACAGATATAAATAAACACGTGAAATGGCCAACTCGCTTCAATATATTCAAAACATTGACTCCAAAACCGGTCTGTACAGATGTTGGCAGTTCCTAGCTCATTTTCACTCCACAACGTACACTTTCTTTTAGAGAGCACAAGTTTTGCAACGTGTTAATTTATGTACAATCGATAAATAAATAAAAAATTTGATCCGCAAAAATATACTTTTTGATGCAACTAAAATAGCAAACATGACGACTGTTTATCTATACATATAAATAAAATTGGAGTGTCTGTTTGTAATATTGAAATAACCGTTTTTTACTACATGCATATGAATATATACGGTACATATACCAAAATAACATTGTTATAATTTTTGTCTGTTGTCTGTCGGTCTTTTTGTTCCGGCTAATCTCTGAAATGGCTGGACTGATTTTGACGGGACTTTTTTTGGCAGGTAGTTGATGTAATAAGGAGTAAGTTAGGCTACTTTTATTTTAGAAAAATAAAGTTAAAAACCACGCGGACAAAGTCGCGGGAACAGCTAATTTTGTTATATACGTAGCTTATATCTTAATCTTAATCACTACATAAAACAAACAAATAAAACAAAGTCACTGTCGCTGTCTGTCCGTCCCTATGTATGCTTAAATCTTTAAAACTACGCAACGGATTTCGAAGCGGTTTTCTTAAATAGATAGAGTGATTCAAGAGGAAGGTTTATATATATATATATATAATACATGTGCAACCGTGCGTAATGTATTATAAACCCAAAAGTTTGTAAAATATAGATATTTGTAATTCTTTTAAAAAAAACTGCTGAACGGATTTTGATGAAATTTTACAGTAATGTAGCTTATGCATCAGAATGACACATAGGCTATATTTTTTATTGAACTTTATATATAGATATTTAACGGGCTGGCATAGCAAATACATATATAAATATATCATCTAGGTGTATGTATATATATCTAAATAAATTATATACTAGGGATAACACAAAACTCATGAATACACAGGAACTTCCACGATATTGCTAAGTATAATATGTAACTTTTGCTGAGAACGTATTTATTATTTTATAATACGTGAAGAAAAAATTTGAGAGACATCAAAATATATTTTGTCAATTAATTCACAAGTATGAACATACTACCAAAAAATAGGACCAATAAATTAATTGTTATTGTGATATACACATAAAAAAACATAGGACCTCCCCAAACTGGCCTAAGACTACGGAATAGAATAGAATAGAATAGAATAGAAAATCATTTATTCAAATAAACTTACATTGAAGCACTTTTGAATAGTCATTACATTTTTTAATCTACCGCTTGTTCGGAAAGCTGTCTCATCACAAGAAGAACGAGCAAGAAACTTGCGTGTTGCTCTTTTAAATAATTTGATAATTACTTTACATTTTTAAGTTTAAGTGTGTGAATACAAACCACCAATTAGCACTAATTCTATTAAATACTCAAATAGAAAAAATATTGAATATATAACCAACTGGTTAAACAATTAATAAGAGGAAATCAGTCATAGTGATTAGAGCAGACCAGTCCCTACAAGCAGCACCCGTTCACGAGTATGACGGATGAGCCAGCCATCACTGCGCTCGACCATATTTTAGGGAGCCCAAGACCCGGCCCACCACGCCGCCACAAGTCTGGACATTTTAGTGAGCATGACTACTCAAAACACTAGACTACGTCAAAGCTACTTACAATTGCTATCTGATAGTTATAGTATTCACATTTTACATAAGAATGCATGCGGCAATCAATACAAAAACCGCTACGCTTTCATATTTCTAAAATCAATCAATTAAATCAAGAAAGCAATGAGAAAATTAAATTATAACGTTGTATGCTAATAAACTAGTTATTTACTTGATATGTTGTCGTCTATGAATTCGTCTATCCTGTAATAGGCTTTCTTACACAAAAATTGTTTAATATAAGATTTGAATTGCCTCTTTGTCAGATTTAGTGCAGATTCTGGCAGTTTATTATAAAATCTTACGCAATTACCATAGAATGAATTACTGACTTTGTGCAGGCGGCATTTAGGTAAAATTAGCTTATTTTTATTGCGTAAGTTTCTATTTGTACAGTCTTTAAGTTTTCTAAAACTCTCTAAATTCTTCCGTGTATACATGATATTCTCATAAATGTATTGTGAAGTAACGGTAACCATTTACCATCAGATGGGCCGTATGCTTGTTTGACACCATAGTAGTATAAAAAAAATTCTTGAAGACGGAAATTTTTCGAAATTTATGAAGATATGTTCATAAAACTTAACGTTAGTTGAGTTGATATTTATATGCCTGTTCGAGACTTATTACATATATCTATTTGACAAACGAGGTTATGGTCGTACGCCTGAGAGTGATAGTTCTCCATCAAACCTGACACAAATTCACGACCGCAATCATAGAAGTCGGTGCAATGAACTGCTAAAGCACAATTCTATATTTATTTTAGTAATTATATGTAATTCAAATAAAGCACAACGCTATATTTATATTACGGTTATTAAACCTTGAACAATCATCATAGTGCCATTTAGTTTCAAGCTAAGCAGAGCTTGTGTTATAGGTAATGGACAACTGATAGACATATTTTAAAAATATAGGTATTAAAGTATTTATATCAGTTATCTAGTACCCACAACACAAGCTTCGACTAGGTCGCGCTATATGGAATGTTCAGGGTTATTAATATTATAATATTGTTTTTTAAAAAACATACATAACATATACATAGAAAATACCCAAATCGATGCAAAAAATGGTACCCATGAATAAAAATTATTGTACGACGACCGTACGAGAAATCGAACCCGCGACCATCGGTAGTAAAGCGGTTTGCTATACCGCTACGCTATCGAGTTCGTCATATAATTATTGTATATGTGAGAGTAAATATTCTAAACTACTAGTACAAATTTATACATATCTCAAACCTATTTCCCACTGAGGTTGGCAGAGACAATAGTACGCCAAATGCTCCGATGTATACATAGATCTTATTACTATTTCTTCATTAACATACAAGTCCACCATTAAGAAGTATTTTTCATTTGATCCTTTTGCAACATCACAATATTTTTAAATATTATACAGACTTTCTTAGTTATAAAGATCTTTATTATAGCGTTTCCTATTTCAAATTAAAACTCCAGCTAGAATAAATCAGACAAAACGTTACAATATCTAAAGTAGGTGTATTAAACGTTTAATATTGTTATATATATATGAACTATGTCAATTACATATTTAAATTTAATAGATATAATATTTTTTATTATTTTCATTACAACATTACTCTTTTTCTATTTCAGATCCTGTTCGCGTTCTTACATCTGGATGTTACGGCTCGACCATCAAATAATGAGTAAGTTTCGTCTCTGTCTTAAATAATAATTTATTAATAAACTAATAAATTGTATTATATAAATTAATTGACTTTATTATAAACTCATTCATAATATATAACTGTGTTATAATTGAGTTATATAAATTATTTGAAAATATTATTTGCAAATCGGCTTAGATGTTATACGATAATATCCTTCATCAGCGCTTTATTAAATATTACCCCAATTTCTCGGAGTTTCAACTAAATCCACTATAAATATTGCACAAGTACCTCCTACTACAAAAGCACAACTAACCATTTTTACACCAAAAGGCTTTAATACACAAACGATGCCTTGAAGCAAGCGTAGTGGGAAAACCAGGTGTCCAGGTATGGTGAATTTCAAAATTTTATTCCTAGCGTAAATCACTGCTTCTTTATATATATACACGCTAATTAATATTTTGCTTGGGCATGGTAATTTATATTTATATAATAATACACATAGTAAAAAGAGTTGTATTGGTTATTTCAGGTTGATGAACCCCACTGAATTAAACGAAGAACCGATAGAATCACTGGATTTAAATGTTGGTAGAAAAGAAGAAAAATCTTTGACCTACAGTGATCCACCAGATGGTGACATCAAAGATATTTTAGACAAAATTAAAATTGTGAACTCGAATTTGAAGAAACCAAATAGAAGACCACCTTCTAATAATAAAGTTACTGTTGAACCTCCACAAATAAACCCAGGATATATTCTTGATAAAGATACTTTAGAGAGATTACAACAGATTATAGCTTCGGGTAAATTGCAACCAGTAACAGAGGTTCCAAATTTTCAAGAAACTAACTTTATTAACAATGATGATACACAGAGGTATTCATATTCTAAAAGTTTATCGTATTTGACCAAATCTGTAACGGGAAATCAAGTAGTGCCAGCTTTACCAATACCTTATATAACAAATATTCCTGTGGTAGTAATGCCATCTCTGAACAATGCCTATAATGTACAAGGAAATAGTATAAATAATGATTTAAATGGACAATATCAAACAAGACAACAACAGATATCTTTTCCATTTCAATGGCCTCTTGCTCCGTATTTTCCAATTTTGATTAAAGACCCGCTTCTTGCCATACTTCAGGGAGGAGGCTGGAATAATATATTTGAATATGGACAAAATGCTGATGTATGCAGTAGAAAACAAAAATCCACAAACGACGAAAATATTGAAGAAGAGTCATCTGCAAATACAGATGAACCCGAAATTGAAAACAATACGGTGAATCAATTAATCCACAAATCAAGGCAAGGAAGAGCAATTAAGAAACATACTGCAGCACAGTCCAATGTTGATAAAAATGTAAATACAATAAAAAAAGTAAAAAAGTTTTTCTCACAGAAGCCATCGACTTACGCCCACAAACCTGTAAAACAACAAGAACAATCTTCTGTAGAAGAGACACCACAGGACACAAAAACGAATAGTTTATTAGACGATGGCGACCTACGTTTTGGCCAATTTTCTTGGTTCGGGGATAAAAAGCCTATTGCACCTAGTCCAGGCTTTTTTATAAATAGATTGAAAGTCAGAAGAGGTGGAGTCGCAATTGCTGGTCCAGGCGGAGTAGCTACAGCTGGAAGAGGTGGGGCTGCTATTGTTGGTCCTGGTGGACTTGCCTACACACAACCTGGAGGTCTTGCTGTTGCTGGACCTGCGGCGCGTGTCGTTGCCTTGTCACCCGACACGAACCTTTCATCCATAGTCTCCAGACTGCAAGAAGTATCAGCATCAAATGGTTCTGTACCAAGATTTTTAGAAGCAATACCTGAAGGGAAAGTTGTCGCAACTGGCCCTGTTATTTATTATCATCCGAAGAATTAATATTCCTATGCTTTTTCTTCTTTCAACTCCTTTTTTTTTATCTGTATACTAAACTTTCTTTTTTCTATCTTCTTAGAATCTATCGAAGACGAGAGTGGGGAAACTTCAAAGGAGAACATAGGGAACAACAGATCTACGAATTCAATAAACGATCTGACGAGTACCAATACAACGGTTCCGGTTTTGCGAAACAGCCTTTGAAAAATCAAGACTCAACATTTATGTTGCATGTGAAACCTATAGCACATGCTATAAGTGGTGTTAAGGGTGTAGCAATAGCTAACCCCATCTCAAAAGTTGTAGTTGCTCATGATAAGTCGGGAAGTATAGTACATGCTCCGATTGCTGCCGCTATTGCAGGACCAGGTGGCATAGCTCATGCCCAATCTGATTTGTATATTTACGAATACGTATATTGACTGATATATTTAGCATAAGAAGATACTATTTAAGACTTGCGGTATTAAGTTTATTAGAATATATTTGAAGTACTATAATTTTGTATAAGAAATTATTAAGTTTTAAAATTATGGTCGAATAAAAGCGAAAAATACTTTCGACTTAATCCTTGAAATTGTTTTTCGAGCATGAAATAATTTAATTAGAAATAATAGTAATATATGAATGTTATTATTATGTTTTTTTAATTAAATTCAATTTGGACAATAGCATAGTATTTTTATTTATAATACTAATACTAATACATAACAATTATTTAAAAATATACACATGCAAAACTTAAATAAATAGAATTATAAAAGCTCTTTGTTACGATGAAGTAACTTCTATTATAACATTAAATTACATCCAGACAACTTACCTTAACTAATGGAAAAACATCTTAGCTGAAATTTTGAGGTAGTTTTAAATTATGATATAATTTTTTTACACTAAACTTTAGATGTAATTATCAATACAGTATATTCGTTTGCCATAAGTAGATTACCACAGCTACAAGTAATATGGAAATCACATTAACATTATAATTAAATATTTCTACATTTTATTATATGAGTATATAAGTACGAAAGTTTCTTGTAGAATTACTTTAATTGTATGTCTTAATGTCATAAATTAATCTACTTTCCCAGGGAATCAGTTCAATATTTGCCATTTTACGGTGGAGCAAAAGGACAGTATTTAGAAATAAAGAAAGATACATCAGGTCGTGTTATAAGTGAAAGTATAGTATCAGAAGACAAAATCAGTACAGACAGTATAGTTAAAAATAATGATGAAAATCTGGTTTCGAAAGTGTTAGCAGCAAATTTACAAAATCTGAAGACGCTATCCGCGAGTGTGATGAAACTTCACAATCTGGGTCGAAGAACCGGATCTTTAGGATCAAATGATAAGGAACGATTCAGGACTCAACTAGAGAAACTGGCAGAAGCAGCTTCAAATACCATCAAGCTAATAGACGAAGTAGGAGAAAATGTTGACATGTTATTCAAAACTAATGCTACGCTGAGACGAATTGAATATGATGACGATGATGTAAGTATACACATATTTAATACTCCTACAAAATATTTTAAACTACATAAACATAGTAATAATACTTGGACAGAAAAAAATACTTGGACTGCTTTTTTTATGTCTATGTAATACTAGTGATTCTCCTTTATTTCGATTAAAAACTATATAATTTTGGACAGGAGCCAAAAAAATTATAATTATTTATTTTATTAATTTTTATTTAAACTTAAACATAATGTTAAAAATGTCGTTTTGTTTTTTGAAATATATTCAATTTAGTCAACATTAATTTTAAGACTTTATATAATTTTTATCTTTTATCAAATTCGAGTGTACTCTGTAACTTTCAAATTACTTTTTACAAGCACAATTGTAGTATTTTTTATGTTCTGAATTATTAAGAAATTTTGGGCGTTAGAATCTGAGAGGGTCGTCGAAAAAAAACCGAACAATCAACTCTGTAGTGACCGAATTGATTTTTACTACCTACAAGGAACATACTAATCTAGTGACACAATTTTAGCATAGGTACCTACATATTTTCAATTGCCATATTGACATAAATTAGATAATATTTTAAGGATGGTGTTACATATGAGTGTGGATAGTTATAAAGGCAGAGGCAAAAAAAGAGATGGATGGACTGTGTGAAAGATGATAGTAAGAAAGGGAGTGACAATAACGAGATGAGTGCGAACAGAGAATGGAAGAGAAAAACATATTACGCCGACCCCAAGCAAATGGGATAAGGAAGAATCAGATGATGATGATTATCATAAATTAGATTTTAAAAACAACTTGGGACTGTATATTCAAACTGATTATAATAAATTGCAGGTGGGCGAGGAAGGTGTTGGCATTGACGCGCCTACAGACAACGATCCCGACGAGATACTCAGTGGAGCCACGATTGCAGAAGCTAAACCAATTGGTAAATAAACAAACACATTATTTTATACAATATTGTATTACTGTAAAATCTTTTTTTATAAGTATTTACTAATAGTGAATAGTTAATTTATATTTTTTCTAATAGTTAGTTATTTCAAAAGAATATCTTTCGAAATTATATGCAGTAAAGATTTATATGGTACTGGGCAAAAGTTAATCTAAATGCACTTACAACCATAAGCGTGAACGATTCACACGGCGCTATCTAGTTCCAAGCGCAAGCAGAGCCTATATTAAGGGTACTAATCAACTGATACAACTACGTGTATATTTTTTAGTTAATACATACATAGAAAACATTTAAACCAACACAAATACTCTAATGATTACAAATGTTTCTATTGTGCTAGAAATCAAACCTGCGACAAACGGAAGGAAGGTGGTGTACTAATACGCTAGCCACCCAGACGTATGGCTATGAATATATACAGCCGCCATATAGCTTTCTTTTGTTTTAAATCAAGCGACCATAATTAATTTACCATTCAGTAATACTATAGACCAATAATATTGAAGACAAACAATAATTCTCTAATTAAAAACAATCTATTCTCAATTTGACCACAGACTTTAACTATAAACAAAGAGGGAGTATATATGCGTGTGTGTGCCAAATATTATACATGACAATGTTTTTTTATTGATTCAATGTATTTTTATGCATAATTAAACAAAATATTAACACTCTGAACTTCTTCTCTATATAAACTATAAGTGTGCGAAATTTGATACTCTACCGTCTTCGCAATTTCGTAAAAACGGGCACAAATTTTTTGCTTCACGTATTAATTTATAGATTAGAAATAATCATATATAATAGTGTTGTGAACTTCATAGAATATCACTTATTTCTTATTAATTTTAATTCCAGGTCTGGCCATCATTGGCGAAAATGGATTAGCAGCTTCCAGACCTATTGGCACAGCGGTAGCAGCTAGTGGAGTTGCTTTAGCCAGGCCCATCGCCACTGCAGTCGCCGGACTCGACCCCACTGTACTAGGCATAAACTTCCAAATAAACCACTCCAGAAACTAATGCTAGTGTATATTAGAAAATTATCATACATTGCAATATCTTAATAATTATATTTAATCGAATTAGGTGTATTTTGCGGAATTCCATTTTAATTACTCAATGGATTTGTATTATTTAGGGTTGGCAACGTGCACGTGACACCTCTGATATTTCAGGCGTACATAGGCTACGGTAACCATTTACCATCACAAGGGCGAATGCTTGTTTGCCATTTACATGGTATAAAAAAATGTAGCGGAAATAAACATAATAATCACAAATCTATTAAGTAATCATATTAATTCTCACACATATCTCATCATCATTAGAACAGTTTACGTCTCCCTGATTGTCGTTTTCCTTATTACATACGAAAAGGATATTAGCTTCTATTATTACCACAGGCGTCTTTGCACAAGACTAAAATAACTCTTGTGTAGAAACAAATCAAGAAGATTCGTGTTTAGTAAAACTCTGTACTTCATTCCCCCAGTCACCTCGCCGTCTTTGCACAAGACTAGAAAAGAAATCTTATGTAAAAACAAATCAAGAAGAATATTCTTTAATAAAATTTTGTACTTCTTTCTTCAAGTCACAGCGCAGTCTTTGCACAAGACTAGTTTATCTATTCATTCTTCTATATTAAAACTTTACCCTACATTTCCCCAGTCACCTAATAATTAAAAAGAACCACACAAAGTGCAACGTCATTCAAAATTATGTAGAACTAGCTGTGTCCGCGATTTTACTAGCGTGAAATTTATAGCCTTTATGTTATTCAGATGCTTCTTCTTCTTCTTTGTCGGTTCCTCAAGACTGAGGGTCGTGACCACCAGGAATGCTCCTTCCAACCAATACTCTCCAGGCATTTCTATCTTGTGCTAAATGGACCGCCGACTGTATATTTTGTTTGACTGCTTCTCGTACAGGATCAGTCCACCGTGCAGGTGCCCTACCTCTGTCCCTTCGCCTTTATGTTATTCAGATGTATAAGCTTCTTCTTCTTTGTCGGTTCCTCAAGACTGAGGGTCGTGACCATCAGGAATGCTCCTTCCAACCAATACTCTCCAGGCATTTCTATCTTGTGCTAAATGGACCGCCGACTGTATATTTTGTTTGACTGCTTCTCGTACAGGATCAGTCCAACGTGCAGGTGCCCTACCTCTGCCCCTTCTACCATCCACGTGGCCTAACATTATAATTTTTTCCAAATTATCTGGTTTTCGGCGGGCCACATGGCCGAAAAAAGTTAGCAGACGCTGGAAGCACACAGAGAGACGGGTTCTGATACCCAGTTATTCCAAAACAGATGCATTAATGCGGCGCTCTATCCATGATATTCCTAACATTTTGCGCCAACACCACATCTCGAAAGCACGTATAAGCTATATTACTGTAAAGTTTCATCAAAGTCTATTCAGTAGTTTTTGCGTGAAATATTCAGTAACAACCATTTATACTCACAAGCTTTCGCGTTTATAATATAAATTAAATTCAATTCAATAATAAGCCGTAACAATAAGCAGGTTAACATCTAAATATTTTTAGAGATTGTACGTCCATTTTGAAATGAACCCGTACAATCTTTTAAAAAGTAAAATAATAGTAAATACTTACATACATAAGTTAGTAGTCTACAGTCGCTGAAGCATTAGTTGAAGTAGTTTAATAGTTTTCAGCTTTGATATCCGTAGTTTAATTTCTATATTATTATATATATGAACATTGCTATTCATCAAAGTGGATTAATATTATCTTTTAGTATACATTAATTAACTATTACAAATAAATAACTCAATCATAATAATATAATTATAATCATCATCATAATTAAATAGTAAAAATATATAAATTAATTGAAATCTAGGAAATTTATATATTATATATAGTTTAAATAGATTATGTAACAATAATTATCTGAACATTCTCTTATTTTATAGACTTGAATAATTTTTATTCCATAAATAAATTAAAATATGTAATAATAATGAGATAACAATGATATAGTGATATCAAAATACACATACAATTGAAGTAGAAATGTAAATACGTATATGTAAACTTACCATTGTAACGATGTGATAAAATTGTCTTTGAAAGACATTAAACATTTTAAAATAATTACAATTTATTTATAATAAATCGATTTTAGATTAGAGCACTTATTTTATTTTTATTATTTACTAGCTGTTCCCGCGACTTCGTCCGCGTAGAATTTAACTTTATTTAGAAAAATAAAGTTAAATTCTACGCGGACGAAATTCTATTTTAGAAAAAATAAAAGAATTTTTCTAAAACATAAGTAGCCTAAGTTACTCCTTATTACATCAGCTACCTGCCAAAAGAAGTCCCGTTAAAATCAGTCCAGCCATTTCAGTCCAGCCGGAACAAACAGACAGACAGACAGACAAAAATTATGTAAAATGTTATTTTGGTGTATTTGGTGTATTATATTTATATGCATGTAGTAAAAAACGGTTATTTGAATATTACAAACAGACACTCCAATTTTATTTATATGTATAGATTAATATAGAGGAATTACGGGAACATAGTTTATAGGTTTTGTATATATATGCCTTACTAATGAAGCATTAATCATGAAAGCAGGTTTTTCAAGGATATATTAATGTTTCTTAAGGGTCAGCAACGAGCACCTGACATTCATAATGTTTTAGGCGTCCATAGGCTACGGTAACCGTTTACCACTAGATGGACAGGTTGCTTGTCACCTTGTGGTATACATATATGAAAAAGTGTTGTTTTTATCTGACACAGACATTTGTGGCAATCACTACAAACAATGGCACCACTGTAGGAATAGACCGACTAATAATTTTATCTATCTATCTAATCAAAATCAAAATATCTTTATTCATGTAGGCAGGGACGCGCCAACCCCATACAGCGTCTGTGTGCGAAATCTATCCTAAAAGTTGGTGTTGCTATATGCTATAATTTATGCTATTGAGTTTAATTAATTAAAAATAGAAAACATAATTTCATAAATATCTTTAACAGATGGCATATGGTCTTAAATAGTTTTTGCTACTTTTGTTGGCTTCAACTAAAAAAAAATAGATTGGATGGACGCCGCACGCTTCGCACACAGAAGAGTTGCGGCTCTTCATGTAAGTCTATTACAGACTCATAAGAGCCTACAATCATGCCAAATCTACCGTCAGTTCGGATTGCTTTCGAGCTGAGAAGAACTAACAAGAAACTTAGCTCTTATTCTTTTCAAATAAGGTTGTACATGTGTACCATAATACAAATTCATTTTTAACTTAAAATTTGGAAGAATAGAGAAGAATATATATCTGTATGGGTGAGTATAGTGCTCATTATGTATGAGACACAACTGATCATGTTCTAGATAACATCGATCCACTTACATGGTAATATAGGAACGCTCTGTGGCACGTGATCACAGTACATGCATATATACAATAGTATTGTACGTGATATGTAAGTATGTACATAATATTATAACATTGTATGACAGCTCTAGAATTTACATACTCTGATTCTCCTATATACAAAGTGGGAGGTCCGTAAAGATAAAAAAATAATAGTAATATTGAGATATTGTCCTGAGGGACAATTCACACAACGCCATCTAGTAACGTGCTTAGCAAAGCTTCTATTATGGGTACTAGACTACTAATGTAAATACATAGATACATATTTTTTTTTTGTAAATTCATACATAATATACATAGGAAACAGCCAGACCGATACATATATGTAATCATACTCATGAATGCAAATGTTTGTATAACGTGCCAGGAATCGAAGCCGTGGCCATCGGAAGTAAGCGGTGTGCTAAACCGCTAGAACACTGAGGCCGTAATAAAATATCTATTTTGTTCCGTAATCTATTTTATTTTCAGGTGTTTTGATTCTTATAAATTCGTGCTTTGCATTCACACAAATTCCTCGCATAGTACAAACATTTATATTCATGACTATGATTGATCTGGATGCTTCCTGTAAGTATGTAGTATTTAAAAAAGTATGTATGTATTTAAAAAAAATGTTCTTCTATTACTAATTCTATTTATACCAGTTGTTTAGTACTATAACAAAAGTTCTGCTTAGCCCGGATAGATGGCGTTATCCGAATTGTCCTGTTATTTTTTTTATTATTTGTTTAAAACAGCAACAGGCAAATCATCATTGTCAATACTGCATTTCGAAGAAACGGTAACAAAATTCTCAAAATTTCTCACAGTTGACATGAAATTTAAGTTTTTTTAAATGTTTGACACCAAATTACGTCATCTAATACCATAAAATATTAATTAGGTTAATTAATTCTGATATTAAATTAATAAACATAAAAACAAAATCTCTAATCAGAATGTATAAGGAATTGTGTTAATTATATTTTTGCATAATTAAAGCAGGTTTTTTATGAACTGGCTTGGCGTTTAAACTGCCATTTGAATCGGCCAGTTGAATGTTGCCTTAAAACATGAATAGCATGTCTGTCATATCACCTCATATATTGCCATTACGTGCTAAGGTACTATAAGGGCCTTTATAGTCTAGCTGTTTAGTACAGCGCTTTAAAACCGATAGTAGCGGTTCAATTCCCACTCGATACAAGCATTTGTAATCATAAGTATGATTAGATTGCAAACATCCAGTGTTTTATTTATTTATTTGTATGTGTACTTATTTATATATTCTTATTCACTGGGTAGGTATTACTGGAGAATTAGTCAAGTTTTCTATATTTATATACATTCTATGTTTATGTACTGCAAAGGGCCCACTTGTACATATTCATAACAATCCTTCCTCCAGCCATAATGATTGGGCAGACTGTTGACTGAGCCTGATGGCCAAAGAATGTTTATTTTGAATGGACAGGAAACAACGTTAGTCATACAATTTAGTGCGCAGTAGGTAATATAAATTAATTTACATTTAATTGTTGTTTATTTACTAACACAGCTAACACTAATAAATACCACGTGTCCGCATAAAATCTCGATGAAATGAAGTCAACACGCAAAAGGTGACATAAGTGTGACTTACTTAGCTGCCGAAGAAAGGAGGGTAATGTGTTTCCGGCATTTCTGGATGTATTTCCGTGTATTAGCGGAAGATTATTTTTGCGGGGTTTATGGCTTGTATTGCTATTTACCTTATCCAGCTGTTTCCAGGTGCGCAGCGGGGAATAGAATAGAAAATCATTTTATTTATCATTTTACTAAACTTATGTTGAAGCACTTTTGACATTTTTTAGTCATCACATTTTTTTCAATCTACCGCTTATTCGGAAAGCGTCGTCACAAGAAGAACGAGCAAAAACTTGCGTGTTGCTCTTTTAAATAATTTTATTGTTACTTACATACTTTTATAAGTTGAATTTAATTCAATAAAATACTCAAGTAGAGAAGATATTAAATATACAATCAACTGGTTGAGTTATTAAATAGAGTATATCAGTGATAGTTATTAGTTATTAGAGCAGACCAGTCCCTACAAGCAGCATACGTTTACGAGTATGACGGATGAGCCAGCCATCACTACGCTCGATTATATTTTAAGGAGCCAAGTAACCTGGGAGGCTCCTATCTTGTACCCACTGCTTGCGATCTTCGCAGACCCATCGCAGACTATCGCTCACCTATTGTCCTGTTCAAAGGAAGATCTAAAGAATGCAAATGAATATGCAAAAATCAACGCAACATTCTGGGATTAGCTGCCATTAAAACGAAAGTGACACCAGAAGATTTAAAAACAAACCTGTTATTATATATAATACTTGATTTACTAAATAGATCTAAGATAAAAAAAGGTAGCGACAAGCTACAACCACAAGGTGTTCAACCTTCTATTAGTGAATGATGACTGTCATCTATAGATGGAGGGGATTGTTATAAATATGAACTTCTAATACCATAGCCATCAATGTACCATGATCACGTGGTTCCCCCTCAAAACCTTCGTGCAATTATCAATACCTCTGACTAACTCATCTGGTATTACAGTCGTGAAAGAATATGCTCTAATTATATAACGATAAACCTTCTTTTTCATAAAATTGCCTTAATAACCTTGTAATTTGAATAATTTAAAGCATTAGGTGATCACTAACAAAAATAGAGCACGACAGCATGAAAAGGAAAATTAAATCTTTATATTAGTAAGATTCGATTCATAAGTAAACCCCAGACCCATTTGTAACTTTAATTGGGAAATAAACACAACATCCTGACCACAGAGTTCCCCGAAAAATTAAAATATATTGACGACAACTGCGTATAAAGAAACTAGCTCTGTCCGCAACTTCGTCCGCATGGAAGAGACGACGAATGGCGAATTTCCATACAAACTTTCATTACCTATTCTATTTTACCCCCTTAAGAGTTATTTTACAAACTCTGAAATTCATATTTATTTATACTTATACAATAGCCTAAAAAGTCAGTTTCAAGCTTTAAAAATAACGATACTTCCAACAACCTTACATCTCACCTTTCAATCCCTTACAAACCTTATTTCGCATTAACAAGTAGGCTATATCCTTTCTCAGGGTGTAGACTATCTGTGTACTAAATTTTCGTTTCAATCAGTTCAGTAGATTTTGCGTGAAAGCGCGACAGATAGACAGACAGAGTTACTTTCGTATTCATAATATTAGTAAGAATAATGTCGTCATGACAAATCTCACTGAGTAATAGTATATTCAAGGAAAACTTACACACACTTATTTTTATTACTATAAATTTTCCATTCTGCAAACATGTTGTAGTAATACCTAAGTATATTTCATGTAATTTAAATGACTACCAAGGAGACTGCCCGCCCGATGGAAAGCCGTCTGTTCGTATATATGAGCGACGGGCTCATATATACGAACAGAAATATGAACATGATGTTATTTTATGACACCCGTGATAATGCCTCATTAAGAAGCCGGAAACTCTTGCTTCTTATGATGCCCTGGCTAAAAGTATTATTTATAAGTTAAAACAGATTAACAATACATAAGTGTACACTACATACAAGCGAAAACTTTTTATGATTAAATTTTATATTTTAGTATTAAATCTATTATATACTTTAATATAATATTTTATGTATAATATATGTGTAATTATGAAAATATGTATGATATAATATACATATATCCCTACAGTGAAAACTTCTATTAAAAACTTCCCCTGTATCAAATCGCAGCGGGAGTATAAGATTTAAAATAAATCAAAATATATACGTTAAAATAAAACTGTGAAACAAATAAAAGGAGAAAAAAAAAATGCTCATGTATTCGCATTAAAAAGAACTGTCGCTTACTCAATAATTGTGCTACTTTTTACCTACTCTAATGCTGTTGGCTGCAGATGGCCTTTACAGCTGCACCGAACGGTAGGGCGCAAGTGCAGATGGCACTCCAAACCCGTGGATACACTTATAAAGCAGCTGAAGGCCTAACAGATACGACTTTAATATGAGGACACCGCTAGAGTTCGAACCTCGGCTCAGGTTGAGTACACCGCCTTACTTCGTTGGTCGCGGGTTCGATTCCACACAGCACAGTAGAGACATTTGTAGTCATGAATCATTGTTTGTATCAGTCTGCGTATTTTATTACTGTATTAATATATATATGAATATGGCGGTATATGAATTGTCTTGAGATATTATAGATATTACTTGAGACGACTTTGGTGGTCTAGCGGTCTAGCACACCGCTTTACGTCCGATGATCGCGGGTTCGATTCCTCGCACGGCACAAACATTTGTATTCATGAGCATGATTATTTGTATTGGTCTGGGTGTTTTCTATGTATAATATGTATGTATTTACGAAAAAAAAATATCTATGTACTTGTATCAGTTATCTAGTAACCGTAACACAAGCTTTAGCTAGCTTAACTTGGGACTAGATGACGCTGTGTGAATTGTCCTGAGATTATTATTATAAAAACTAACAAATTTCGCAATCTCTTTAAAATGTTAATCAAGCCATATAGGAATTATCATTGCAGATTCCAAGACATTCTATTAAGATGATTAAATCTGGATAAATGCCAACAAAAATGACACTAACATATAATAAAAAAATCATAAAGACCTAACATACCATTGTAGAGATATGTGGACACTTAACTAGCAAATAATATATTAAACATCTTCCGGTGACTATCCTTCACTATAACATATATATATTTATATATGTTTATATATGTCGTCTTTGTCTGTCTGTCATTATGCGTCTGCGTAATTGACCGTAAATAAAGCTATGGTATGCACATTATTCGATAAATTATAAAATAAAGTTTTTCATTTTCTGAATTATACATATAATTATACAATATATTATTTAAGGTTTTTAATTTTAGGTGCCTTGTTGTATAATGAAGTTATGTATATATATCATATTAATTTAGAAAAAAAAATTGTAAATTAATTAATTAATAAAAATAATAAAAATAAAACATTATACAAATACATCAATACATACAATACAATTGTTGTATTGAAAAATATTTCTTAAATTTTAGAATTTTAAAAAGATTTAAACTAAGATGATGTCACCAGATGATCTGCAAAGCCTTATCTTTTATAGAGTAGTAAACAGTAACAGTTAGCACAGGTGGCTGCACCATTCCTTTTATCATCCATTAAAAAAAATGCTCAACTAATTGCTCAACTATAATAGTATAAAATGTGCATAGCATTGTCTACACGTCTATTCCTTATTTTTGTATTATTCACAAATTGCGAAATCTGTTTCAGGAACATTTTCGGGTTTTTATTTTTAGGTGTACATGTTTCGACTATAATTTTTCCTCTAGTCATTTTATTATCCTTCCTATAATTTATTTCTCTAGTATTATATATTTTCCCCTAGAGATGAATTAAATAATAGTATATGATCCATGAGAACTATACATATGTAGGCTTGATACAATCGAGTCGATATAAAGGTAAGCGCGGGCGCAGTTACGCGTTTTATTTCCTTGCGGATTGCGCGCGCGGCTCCCGTGTAAAGTGTACTAAGATGGCCGCTTATATAGTAAGTAATAATTTTTTTAATTTTCGGTACTCCTTACTGCGTTCCTAAATATAATATTTTCACAATTAAAAATTTCAAAATTCGAACGTGAAACTCAATTCTTATAAATGTAATAATTTATCAATGTCATTTTTCATATTTCGAATGTTGAAACAATTCTTTTTTTTTATAATGACAATTCGTCGATTCTATATTTACATGACAGTACGCATTGTCAATTTTTCTATATTCAGATACACAAATATTAATAAAATTTTAATTCTTTTTTTAATACATGTAATTTCTACTAATATGATAATATAATATACCTACATACGTTATGTAGATATATTATACCTTAATCTTAACTATCTTTTTTACAATAAACTTCTATATACAATCTATAAATATATATAATATTTTGACATAGTGATTACTTGCCTAGTGGATGCGTTCTCATAGCACAATGATAATATCTGCAACTATGTACAAAGATGCAGATATTACTATTGTATAAATAGCGAAGTATAAATGGAATAAATGACCGATTAATATTTATAAATGATGATTTATTTATTTAGCAGACCATTATCTTTTCTCTGTTCATCATTTCAATTAGGAAAACTTATTTAAACTGTAACATTTTAAATTTTAATGCCTGCTTATTCTACACGGAAATATCTGTTATATGTTTTTTTATACAAAAAAAATTTAGGTTTTTGCAATAAAAATTGTTTGAGCAAACAACTGGGTAGACCGGAATTTTTCCTGTCTTCTTTAGTTTTGGTAAATCTAGAATTGTAGAATAAATATTAATATGACTCATTGAATGAAATTAAGCTGTTTACGGACTTTTTTTTTAATTTTATTGACAAACAAACTGACGACCCACACGATGGAAACTTGTCTATAGATATCACAATCGGTCATAGTGATAATAATAACCCTAGAACAAATTACACAACTCCATCTAGTCCCAAGGTAAACGCAGTTTGTATACATATATAATATGTATAAGTATACAAGCTCCGCATATTGTGAATACATATATAATATATATATAAAAAATCCAGAACGATAACAATAAACATACTCATGAATACAAAAATTTGTACCGTGCCAAGAATCATACCCGCAACTATCGGAAGTAAAGCGGTGTGATACCACTGAACCGCTATCAAGATGGGCTAAGAGATGTGTCTAACTTCATCCTAACAAAACGCCATCCACTGGTCAATTATTACTATTAAAAAAACGGTAAAAACCATTAGGAAAAAGCTGATGGAGATATTCAGTGGATTACACATATACAGCAGTAAATATAATTTATTCTCGTTCCGATCAGTTGCACGTTACATATAAACTGTAACTTAGCAACATGATTACTTATTTTAAATGTGTTTCTAAAATCAATGTGGCTAATAAAAACAAACCTATCTAACTAATGTTATAAAATATATTACTCTTTCACGCCAAAAACATTTGAATGGATTTTGATGAAACTTTACAATAACGTCACGAGGATATCACCGCGGGCACAGTTAGTAATGGATTAAAAGCAATGCACCGATTAAGATATTGCATATAGTATCTGACCACCTCGGTGGTCTAGCGGTTTAGCACACCGTCTTCCTACCGAGGGTCGGGGGTCGATTCCTCGTACGGCACAAACATTTGTATTCATGATTGTTTGTATATAAGGATTCATGTAACATAAATTTCAATAATACCAAATCCAGTGTTAATAGTTAAGTCCCGTATATGGATTTTAGATGAGCAAAATGTTGATACAATGTTGTCGATTGCTGATTTTATAAATATTAAATATTGTACTTAATAGGTAAAGACATCTTTGTACACATTATTGCAGATATGCCTTCACATTGTAGCTTGTATATTCTTTCAAATATGAATATAGAATCAATAAATATAAATAAATAACCCTGGACAATTAACGCGGCGCCATCTAGTCCCACGGTATTCAGAGCTTAGAATAGAATAGAATAGAAAATCATTTATTCAAATAACCTTACATTGAAGCACTTTTGAATAGTCATTACATTTTTTTAATCTACCGCTCATTCGGAATGCTGTCTCATCACAAGAAGAACGAGCAAGAAACTTTGCTCTTTTAAATAATTTTATTATTACTTCACATATTTAAGTTTAAGTGTGTGAATACAAACCACCAATTAGCACTAATTTCCTTGTGTTATGGGTACTAGACAACTGATATAAATGTTTAGATTTTTTTAATACATACATAATATACATATAAAACACCCAGATACAAACATTCATACTCATGAATAATGTTTGCACCGAGCGAGGAACCGAACCTGCAAAAATTATTTTACAACACTAATTATTAAATATATCATACTAAGGTAGCTAATTTAGTAATGTACAGCCGATGGGTAGTTTTTTTAAAGAATGATACACATGTATTGATGCACCCGCCTGCGCTAACGGTTTACGCTGGCGGGGCACCAGTGGAGGATGATAAGATGAACATGAGGTCAGGCCAGTTAGCTAATCGTGGTAAATTCACCATGAATTTATCGCGATGGTTTCCAGGGGGAACCGCGTGGAGGTCGACCTGACATGGTACATTGCTAGCAATGAGATCATCAGTCCACATTACTAACAATACCCTTTCCCCCAAGCCGATGGGTAGTAATGTACCATGTCAGGTTGACCTCCACACGGTTCCCCTGGAAACCATCGTGATAATTCCTCGTGAATTTATCACGATGGGCTAACTGACCTGATGTCATGATCATCCCATCATCTTCCACTGGTGTCCCGCCAGCGTATACCGTTAGCGCAGGCATGGGTGCATTACCATTACCAATGTGTACTTAATATTAATTTTAATATCATTCATATGTATGTCAGTCTGTATTATTACCATTAGTAGCCTGAATTAAATAAATAAAAAAAAAGAAAGAAAGAAAGAAAAATATTTTATTCAGTGCAAGAAGAAAGGAAAAGAAAATTTATCATCCATTAAAAAATACCTATGCCAGACAATCGGCCTAATAATATAAATATAATTGTTTGTATCATCGAACCTGCGACCATCAAGTAACGGGGCTATACTGCTACACCGCCAAGGTCGACTATAAATATAAATGTTTGTATCATCGAACCTGCGACCATCAAGTGACGGGGTTACACCGCTACACCGCCGAGGTCGATGTCACTAACGCATGTACACAAAAGCGACCACCAGTAGTACCGTCCGTAGAGCGTTGTTTTCCTTGCAATAAAAATTAAACATTATTAAATAACAGTGAGGAAAACATTAGGTAGGATGACGTACTGTCTGTATATGATTTACTGGCTTAAACGTCACGTGCAGTTCTATTTTAATCTTAATCATTGCATAGTATAACAAAATCGCTGTCGCTGTCTGTCCGTCCCTATATATGCTTACATCTTTAAAACTACGGAACGGATTTTGAAGCGGTTTTTTTTTTAATTTATAGAGTGATTCAAGAGGAAGGTTTATATGTATAATACATGTACAACCGGGCGAAGCCGGGGCGAGTAGCTAGTAATATAATAAACGCGAAAGTTTGTAAGTATGGATGTTTGTTACTCTTTCACGTAAAAACTACTGGAGGGATTTTTATGAACCTTTACATATATAGCATCAGAATAATATACAGGCTATTATTTTATTAAAATTTAACGTGGGCACAGCTAGTATATTATATACTAGTTGTGCCTGCGACTTCACTAGCCTGTTAGGGACTTTATGCAGCATTTTTAATTATAACCTTTCCCCCAAATTCAGATTTCATCCCCATTCAAATTTAATATAAAAAATAAATATATAGTCATAATTATAGAATTTGGAATGAATAAGGAGATAGTTAGAATAGATGGCCTATGTCCAGCAATGGACGTCTTCCGAGCTGCGATGATGATGATGATGATGAAGGAGATAGTTTTGATGTATTTTATGAATTTCATGTCAACCAGTTATACTATGTATATATGTGGAATAATTATAAAAAATACTCTTTTAAAAGAATCGTAGACAGAGAAACTCAAAACTATATATCATTGTTGTGGCTATAACCCTTAAAATAGGACCCCACTTTCGTTGCAAGTGGAGTAAAAACTTTGGAAATCAGGTCGCATGTGGCTCGTAAAATCAACCACGCGCATCCCGCGCTGTCAACGGCCGCAATTACCGCAAAATTACAGTTTTACCATCACCTTGCGTTACTATGACGCAATAAAAGGAATAAATAACTCTATACGACAAACAACTACTTACCTACATGCTTGGCTAAATACGTGTGACAGATTTGCAGTTTGCAACCATTTTGAAACGCGGAAAGAGACGGTAGAATCTAACAATTCGGTCCATTACTGTGTTTGTACTAATATATTACTGACTTGTTGCATAAATGAATATGATTTGACAATTACAATGAAGGCACAGCTTATATCGTTTGTTTTAACCGTTTATGTGCTATGGTTTTTTACTGATGTGTGCCTAAAAATACCAAGAAAGTTCTATGATTTTAATGTCATGTAACCTTTCCTGCAAGAAATTTTGTACCTACTTCCTTTTATTATTTATTTCACGATTATTCAAAATGCACCGCCCACTAATCTCTGTTTGCCCTATGTACGACTGGGAGAAAATGCCTTATGGTGTTAAGACCGTCATATGCAGCTTTGTTTTTTGTATTTGGGCATTAATTTTTTAGAAATATATAAAAAAAAATCTCATCAAAATGTTGTCCAAGACTAATATCTTACCTGCGGAGCGCTTGACTGCAACTGATTTTGGAAGCGGTCTGATGATCACCACAACTTAGACGGCTCCAAATGAAACTTTATAGTAGCGTACTAACTGACTCGGATTACTTCATCTGCATCACACTTACTTGATATTTATCATTATATTTCGCCCAATTCACATCATGTATTTTTAGTATTTAACCCATATATTATTCTGATGTATAAGCTATATTACTGTAAAGTTTCATCAAAATTCG